GAAGAACCTCAGCTTAGCCTGTTAGCTTTAGCGCTGATGCTATATTGCCTTATATGTATTAGCTCGACGCTAGCGCAACAAACTAACAAGCTAAACTGAGGTCCTGAATTAATTTCAATAATTGTACTTAACTTGTAATTTCAATAAATTACAAGTTAAGAAGGGCATGGAAATTTATTTTTTTTTGTATTGAAAAAATATCAAACCGTGACACTAAAGTATCAAACCAAACTGAACTGAATTGTGAATTTTCTGTATCGTTGCACCCCTAACATGTATATCTCCTTATATACCCAGTGACGGGCTTTCTTAATGTTTCATATGAATGACTGAAGCAATGCCTGCCCATTTATTCCTCAGAACAGGACTGATTTATTTAACAGTGTTTTTGTCCAAACTGGATTTTCCTCAGTTCTGTTTTGACAGTAGCTAACTCACTCATAAAAAACTCCCTTATTAAGCTACTCTAACAAGTACCAGGTGGTGTGAAGTGCCAGTCAAATTACAAGCATACAAAATCCATGACACACACAAAAAACATCATAAACTCACAAAAATCTATAAATGTGCACAAGTACAATTTTCAACCATATACAGTATCATCATCAACATGGTACAACAACAGAGAAAAAACACTGCAAGTCCACAATGGACCTGTATGACAAATCCCAATATCAGGGAATGCCATAATAAAAGTCTATGATATGGAAAAACCTACACACAGTTTTTACATATACAGTTTACCCCAAAAAAGCCACCAATGGCATCAATGAGGTTTCATCCAATAAAGATGAAACAAACTTCATCAAGATCCTTTATGTCTCATGTGGATATATTTCAATCAAGTAGAAAAGTCTTTAATAGACTGTGCACCTCTTGCAATGAAAGCCACATTTCCATATGGTGTCCTTATATCTGCAGGCTGCCTCTTGGTGAGTGGCAGCACAGCTCGAGCAGAAGCTGTTGTCTTTGGGCTTTTCATTAACACCTAAAAAGGTGTCAGTAACAGTTTGCTTCTGTGGAGCCGCCTATAAACAAAACCGCAGCCGAGACAAGGTCCAAATCCCCTTGATCTCAGCCGTTAAACATCAGCTACCTTTACTGAACACAGACACTAAAGAACTTTAACATCTTTTATAGGACCATCAGAAAATAACTTCTCTTGTCAGTTAGATTTTTTATAAAACTTTCAAATCCATTTTTTTCCCTTTCTGAAATATTTCCTAATGGCAATTAAAATGATTGATGAGGACGATCAGTATTTTTTAAATTAACAGTGAACCAAAAAACTGGAACTAATGAGAGGACCTAACTTGGCAACTCCCCTCAGCTCCATGGAGCTTTTTAGTATCCGTCAGCTCACTGTTTTGCATTTACAGTCTTTTCTACTTTGTTTCACTTTTACTGCCGGAACGCTGGAAGCTAGAAAACACTGTGGAGCATACAGCCGCTTAACAGCAAGATATTTCCCTCAGGAGTTGGTAGAGACAAAAACAGGCTGGATATAGTGAAAGCTAGGACAGCTGGGGCATTAGGGTGGCCAGAGAGCTGCATTGGAACTGGATGCTTTAAAAGTAGGTTGAACTGTAGCTTTTATTAAAAAGAACTGTCTGTAAAGTCTGAGCTTTTCATATTGTCATCATTAAATTCTATTGTTAGGGATGCTGAATTGAATAATTTTTCCCTCTCTTTTCCAGATATGCAAATAATAATAAAAATAATAATAATAATAATAACAATAATAATAATAATAATAAAGTTTGAAAATGCACCACAGCATAAAGGCTCACGTACCTGAGACGTCTGTATCACTGTGAGATTCCTCTTGTTCTGACAGCCTCCTTTCTACCTGCCGAACTTCAGGCACATAAAAATCAACCTGCCGAGCCAAGGGGACGAYGAACTGGATCTGACCGTCTTTGTAGATTTCAAGGAATGGATGTGCACAGAGCCTCCGTTCCTAAGGGAGAAGTCAGTGAGCACTACTTAATGATTTAAAAGAAACCTTACATGAAGACCCAAATAGTGTGGAAAAACACTAATTTGCAGATTTAAATGCCAWACTATTTACTTGATGGGTAAAMTGATTTACAGATGAATAAATAAAAAGATAGCTGCGCTGCTTTATATAATCGCTAGTTTTTAGTTTAGCAGAAATAATTCTGCTTTTTGGGGTAATGTTGGGGCGGCACGATATAGCACAAATTTATCATCAACAAGATAACAGAATGTGCAACAGACATATCACAAAAAACTGCATAAACTGCAATAAAAGGTTGGCTCAAATGTTTGCATTCATGTGTTTTGTCAGCATCAGTCTGATAAATAAAGTGGACCCGAGTTCCCACTTCAAATCATAACCACTTGGTCRGTGGAGAAAAATGTTGGACAAATGCAATGAGCGAATTTGGAGTTGGATTTATTCTTTAACCTGTTCTCAGTTTTTAGAAAATCAGAGAATGTTTTATGGGGGCGATGTTTTAAAGTCATTAAGAAACGGTGCTGCATGCAGTTTGTTGTTTCAYTGCTAATACAGCAGCTGTGTCWAGTTGCACTTTTTAAGCCCTAGTTTAAGTCACACCCACTATCATGCATTTATATTTATGTATACATATTTATTTTTTTGAAGTTTGCTACACGGTGGTATTTTGTAAACTTCTTTATCAAACTACTGCTTTCAAAGACCATATAGCATTTTTTATTACTAGCTGATGTAARCATATGGTTTAAATATTCATTAATGTTCTCATAATAAATAAACTATACACAATTACGTTCATAATCACTTGCTGGGGCAAAAGGTTATTTTAATTTAAGAGCAACACTGAGGAGTTCCAGGTGAAAAATAAACAGTGCCTTCAAGGCAGAGCCTGACTTTGTTGGCCAATGATATATAGGTGAGTAAACAATCGATTATTAACAGAAATGAGCTAACAGCAGCAGATGATTTTGTAGGTTTACAGCCAAAGCAATTCTTTTAAAAAGACATCCATCCATCTGTTCASTGAYTTCCACTTATCTGTGGTCAGRTCACAGAAGCAACAAGTCCAGCAGTGAAATAGACGTCCTTTCCTCTAGTGACRCATTTCAAATTCTCCTGAGGGATTCAAAGGTGTTCCCAGGCTAGTGAGGACACAATCCCTCAGTGAGTTCAGGGTCGGCCCTGGGGTTTCCTCCCAGTAGGATGTGCTCTGAAAATCTCCAGAARAAGGTGCCTAGGAGGCATTCTAATCAGATACCTGAACCACTTCAGCTAACTTYTTATTATGTTTAGCAGCAGCTCTTCTCTGAGCTCCCCCAAGATGATGAAGCTCTTACTTTAGCTCCAAGGCTGAGCCAGGCTACCCTTGTATTTGAGCCACTTGTATTTGAGATTTCATTCTTTCACTCATAATTCATACCTCATGACCATACATAGATGACCAAATAAATCAAAAGTTTTGCCTTTTAAATCATCTCCTTCTTTGCCATGACAACTGAAGCAATGCCCTTGTTGCTAAGGATGGGGCTTGATCTGTCGATTCATCTAAAAGTCCATCTTGTCACCACTAAACAAGACACCTAGATACTCCTCCACTTGAGGCAAAGACTGACCACCGAATCGAAGGGAGTGTTGATTGATCAGCGTCTACACATTAGTTGAAAATGTAGAGGAGTGGACTGGATGAGAGTCGGCTCTCAATCAAGCAGCAATCAAGAAAAACAATCAAGCATAGCTGATCTRAAGCTTTAAAAGTAAACTTATTAAACTTTGTGCATCTTGTCAGAATAAAGTTCTGCTCAGTCCTGACTGTAACATTCTCCCTCAGGTTTTAATGTCATGAGACACATTTATATTCCTTGATGCAAGTTTAAGTGACATTAAATTTCAGATCTCTTGCACTTCATGATCAGAATTCATCATGTCAAGTCAGCACTGCAGTATAAAGTCAAATACACATGTAATCTCTTCAGCATGCCCCGGGTCAACCCCGGGTCCTCCTGCTGGTGGGAAAAACTAAAAACCACTTTAGCTTGAAGGAAAACAAGCACCTCCTGGAGGACACACAATCTACAAGATATAGATACTGGTTAAATAAACTTCTATGCCACCTAGAATTTACTCAAAATATAAAGAGCTTTTCTAATGTTCCACAACCAAAACATAAAACTGTATTGTTGCTTGTGAATTTCAGACTTCACCATCATCAATACCAATGAAAAAAGAGAATTCCTCCTCTAGGTTAGCAGAACTTCACTGCTATAAACAGTGTTGGCAAAATAATGCTTTCCCAGCTGAGATTCCAAAAATCACCTGAAAAGTCATGTTCCATAACTGCACTAAAAAAGCCTGAATTAATTTTAATTTACTTTTTTTCATAGAGAGCAAGGGTGTCAAACACATTTTCACTAAGGGCCACATGAGCGTTACAGTGGGCCAATTGTAAAGAATGGACATGGACATTACATTTGTGAAAGAAATAATGAGTTATATTATTGAGCCTTTTACATACATATGCAATTTATCATTTTCAACAGGAATATTTCCTGATGGTATGAAAATTGCTAAAGTAATTCCACTCTATAAAAATGGTGAAAAATCAAAGTTTGCCAACTATAGACCAATATCATTGTTACCCCAATTCTCAAAAATTTTAGAAAAATTGTTTGTAACTAGACTGGACCGATACCTCGATAAACAAAACATTTTGAGTAACAATCATTATGGTTTTAGAGCTAAACATTCAACATCACTGGCACTCATGGATTTTATWGAACAAATAACTACAGCTATTGATCAAAAACAATATTGTATTAGTATTTTTGTTGATCTAAAGAAAGCCTTTGACAGCATTCTTCTCGAAAAATTGAACAAATGTGGCCTGAGAGGTCTAGTTTTACAATGGGTATCCAGCTATTTGACAAATAGGAAACAATTTGTGCAAATGGATGAAATAAGGTCTAAATTTGATAACATTACCTGTGGGGTCCCACAAGGTTCTGTGCTTGGACAAAGTTGTTTCTTTTATACATAAATGATTTGGTTAATGTGTCGGGATTGTTTAAATGTGTTTTGTTTGCAGATGATACCACATTTTTTTGTTTGGGAAAAATTTTTAGAATGAATGCTAGAAATAATACAAACAGAATTTGTAAAAATACAGACTTGGTTTGGGCTTAACAAACTGTCTTTAAATTTGAAAAAAAAAATATGATAGTTAGTAATAAAAGAATAATAGTTTATGCTACATTTAAAACTGATGGAAATGATATTTGTAGAGTGAGTGAGGT